CCTCACTTAGATCAGTTTAAATATCATATACACAACAAATAATTTTTAGTGTGAGCAATTGGAACATACCCATACTGTGAAAAAGTATTCATTGTGTATCTGATACTCAAACTTAACTACATATATCCCGCATTTTATCTGGCAACCTTATTACCACCCTACTGTGAGGTACCTTGATCCTTGACATTTTTCTCACTTTAATAGAAACTGCTTTTCCTCAGTAATACATCATTTCCAAATTTCATCCATAAAAAAAATGCCTAACCTTTCTAATACCCCTCCTTCTCTAAACAAAACCAATTTATATATGACTTTTCACATCCATACCTCTCTCAGCTACTCAATCACTTCTACATCACAAGTGATTTTCTTTTTTTTTATATGATTTTTTAAAAATATATTTTATTGCTTTTTTTACAGAGAGGAAGGGAGAGAGATAGAGAGTTAGAAACATCGATGAGAGAGAAACATCGATCAGCTGCCTCCTGCACACTCCCTACTGGGGATGTGCCCGCAACCAAGGTACATGCCCTTGACCGGAATCGAATCTGGGACCCTTGAGTCCACAGGCTGACGCTCTATCACTGGGAATAAACCGGTAAGGGCCACAGGTGATTTTCAATTATTTGGATCCTCCAATTTTACCCAGTCTCCTGATACCTCCTAACATGTCTTCCTGACAATCAGGCCTTGACTTCAGTGTTTCCCTAATTAGTGCCCTAGATATTTTTCTCCTTTAGACATTCTGCCATGCCAATCCTGAATCCAACCACAGTTTTGCCCATGTCAAATTTAAGTGTCATAGAGTAGCTAAAGAGTTGGCAAAACTAAAAATTCTGATATTTAGCATCCATTGGGCCCTTGCTGCTACACAGGCATCCTATCATTCATATCTTCATCTCTTTTATTATTATTATTATTCCTCTGAAAGCAGTTAAAAAGCACTGCCTCTGGACCATCAGAGGCCCAAACCTGATTTCAGAGCCACCAGCATTAGTTATTGTGACCTGGGATAATCTATTAATAAAGTAAGAACTCCTTGGCCCTCCCTTGGACATACTGAAGAAAAATCTTTAAATGGGAGAATAGAACATGGAGAATAAATCTGAATTTTCAACTAACTCCACAGATAATTTTTATGAATACAGAAATTTGTGGTGATCCAAGATGGTAGAAGCTACCTTCAACTCTTCCCAGGACCAAACTGGAATTACAACTAAAGTATAGAAACATCATCCTAAATAACTAACTGAAAACTAGGCGGGGAGAAGCCTTATAACCAAGGACTTATAGAGGAGGCCACAACAAGACTGGTAGTAGGTACGGAGGCACAAGAGGGCTGGCCAGGCACTCACGGGCAGCAGCTGAAGTTTTGGAGGGATATCTCAGCTGTGGGGAGTGGTCCCCCTGAGAAGTGTGGGGTCTAAACCCCAAGCCGAGATCCCTAGCCCAAACCACCAGAACCAGGAAAGGTGCACAAAATATACTGCTGTAAAAAGCAAAGGGTTTCTGTCTGCCAAGAAGAGATGGCTAGAAACACAGACATCCTCTTAAAGGGCCAATGCACAAAATTTCCTTCACAGCCACTCACCCTGGGCTCCGGCAGAGGAAGGGCAGAGCACACTAGAGTTATGTGGGGTTGATGGCTCTGGGGAGATAGCTGAGAGGATTCCTGTGCTGAGTCATTCCTCCAAACTACAGAAGCCATCTTTCTCAGGCAGAGCATCACCTCATGCAGCATCAGCCTGGGGGAAAGCAATAGCCCCACCACCCATTGGAATCCCTCTCATCTCACCATGTAGAGCTTATGCCCTACTGAGGAGTACAGCCCAAGGCTCTTTAGTGACTGCACCTAACAGACAGCCTGTAGGCGAAGGCTGATCTCTGGGTACTTTGACCTGCCCCTGGGCCTGGTGCTAGTAAAAACAGATCTTGGTGCACAGCTTCTTTCCACATGCATGCAGGCCCAGCAGAGGGAGCTACAAACTATGAATCGCTGATAGCTCCACACAGGTTGCCCAGGACCTGTCACAGAGTCTGACATCTGTCTGTACCACAGTCCCTCCAAAGAGGCCCAGAACCAATACACCCAGTGTCCAGTTCCACACAACAAAAGAGCAGGATCCAGTAAGCTTCATAAGCAGCATATCCATAGGGAGATCTCAGCAGGCACCAAACTGTGCTGAGGCGAATTCTACTTTGTGTGATCAGCACTTGCACAGCAGCCTGCACACTATGTTGGGGGTTGAGCCTGTCAGCCAAACTAAGGGTCAATCCCACACATGAACAGACCACAGGTCACCTACTACATAGGGCCACTGTAACAGACAGGAAGTCATGGCATTTCTACCTGATACATAGAAACACACACGAAGAGGCAGCCAAAATCGGGAAACAAAGAAACAGGCACCAAATGAAAGAATAATGAAATTCTCCAGAGAGCTAAATGAAATAGAGGTAAGTAATTTATCAGATATAGAGTTCAGAGTAATTATTACAAGGATGCTCAACAGCATGAAAAATGACATAGAAAACATAAAAAAAGGACCAGTCAGAAATTAAGAATGTCATATCTGAAATAAATAATACACTGGAAGTACTAAACAGTAGGCTCGATAAAGCAGAGGAGTGAATCAGCTATTTGGAAGACAATGTAATAAAAAATACCCAATCAGAACAGCAAAAAGAAAAAAATTATATAATGCTGGCAATTAACACAATTATTCTATACTTTCTGACAGTATTCAGCAGTAGATAAAAGAGGTTGGGTTATGGCAGGACATTGATTGGAATTGGGATCCTGCCCCTCCTCTCTTACTCAACACTCCACAAAATAATAATAACAACAATAACAATAATAATAATATACTCTGGTTCCTGCAGACTTCTGATCCTTTCACCTCTTTTCTCAAAACATTTTCTTCATTTATAAAAGCAGGTACTAAATATAAGTTTGAACTTCAGGCACAACCTTTTTGTCGCCTAATTAATTTGTACTATCAGAGTTTTTTTAAATAAGAGAAAGTTTATTTAGAAAGTTAGAGGCAAAGAAGAGCCCTCGGAGCTTAGGAGAGAGAAAGGTAAAGGTGACTAGCCTGGGGAGAACAAAATGGGGAGAGGAAAGGTGCCGGTTCCAGGAGAAAGAGCTTGCTGTACTATCAGGTTCAATCTCACTAATTCTGCGGAAACTCCCTTTGCCCCTCTCCTGAGGGCACATGCACACATGCTTTCTCTTCCACCCTCAAGGGCTCACCAGCAAAGATGCTTTTGTCACCTGTTGGAATTAGAGATTTAAAAGGATCCCTGTGATTTTAAAAAGGACACACAGAGGTAGAAAAGAGAGAACTCATGCACATCTGGCTGGGGACAGGCTATGGGTATAAATATGGGGATGCTACATCCCTGAGCTGGAAGCTTAGCCTGCATCTGCATCTCTTTTTTTATTTTTTAATCCTCACCTGAGGATATGTCTTTCATTGATTTTGAGAGAGCAACATCAATCTGTTGCCTCCCATACACACCCCAACCGGAGATCAAACCCACAACCTGGGTATGTGCCCTGACTGGGAATCAAACCTACAACTTTTTGGTGTAAAGGACGTTGCTCCAACCAACTGAGACACCCGGCCAGGGCTTTTTTTAAAAATTGTATCCCTGTATCTCTTATCACTGACTTGACTCTCTAATAAGTCTATGGACACTGTGGAAAGCTGAAGTATTTCTACCGTCGGTGGCCATTCATAAAGGTTTGGGAGGAATTCTTAATCATTTCCTGTTGGGAATTATAACACTAATATAGAAGGGGAAAATTCATATTTAAAACATTCTCACAACAAAATAAGATGTTTCCTTTTGGTGTTTCCAACTTTCTATTGACTCTAACTTTTATTATAAACTAAACTGAGATTTGCTTAGAATTTTCTTTAAAAAAAAAAAAAAGAGAGAGAAAGAGGGGCTGTTACCCACACAAATCAAGTACAAGGTCAACAAGGAATTGGCAGAGAAAGGGTGTTCTTGAGAGTAAAACTGAAATAACCTATTTTGGAAACTGAATGTAAAAGAGGAAGAGATGCAGCCAAGAGACTTAAATAAATGTACTAGGAATAGGATGACACTGAGTCCAGAGACAGAAGAGTACATTTATCAGACTCAAGCAGCAGAAGAAAGACATAATGTTACAATGAAAAAAGAAGAGTTTCAGAATTCAAGACATATTTCATCTACTTGATTCACAACTGGAAATAATTATATGTGTGTGTGTATTATGAATACATACATAGGAATATCTATGATTAGAATTGTTAACCTATAGCATAGTACCTGACCCAAAGTAAAATCTGAATATGAAGTAACTACTATAAATAGGTGGAGAAAATCCAAATTACTAATTACATTTTCCTAGAATATAATTAATAAATTCACAGCTACTAAGAAAAAAAATAAAATTTATTCCTATAAATAACATATAGCCCTTCTGATATTTTAGATAATCCAATCAACGGTTCTCTTCCTTAAGAATTAATTGAAGTTGATTGGGCAGATATTATATACACAAATATATAGCCGTATGTACTCAAGGTAAAACAAAATTTTATTTTATTCTGAAGCACTATAGCTTCTATAATTTTTTCTACATCTGAGTAATTTCTGCACTGCCCTTATAACTCATATTGGCCACAATGAGATTAACCATAAATCTGAAGAAGGCAGATTACTTATAAAATAGATTTCCCCATCTTACTGCAGCCTCAACAGAGCAACAGAACAATATAAAATAAGACACTGGATTTTTAGTACTCATAAATAATGGGGAAGATTAAATCACATAACAGTGAAATTTGATTTTGGCGCCACATAACTCATTATACATTCAGTTTATCAACTGGATTCTTTTCCAAAACATCTGAAACCTAAGTGCAAATTTTAACAGCTCTCCAATAAGCAGCTGCATTAACCACAGTGTGCCAATGATAAAATGATACTCAATGCAAGTTTCTTACCTGCCTCAACAGTTTTTCAATGGCTGACATTACCATAAGGCCTCTCCAAACAACTGGTGCAGTCTCTTCAACCAGGAAGCCCATGGACATACTACAACAGTAAATCAAAAAGACATCTAATTTACATAAGTTAATCAACAGTATTCTGAAAAGAAGTGTAAAGTAAAAAAGATATGCTCACCAAGCAATACCATAATTCAAAAGAGGCTTCATTAGGTTGTCTGAAATTAAAAAAAAAAAAAATCTCTTTGAGAAGAGTCATATATAAACATAATGATTTGTTCTCATCAAAGAGTGCCAAATTAAAATACAAATAGACTACTCATACTCCTGCTCTTTTAACCTCCAACTAATTCATCTCAATTTACAACAGTTTAAACATTTGTCAAGCATAAAACTAATATTTCGAATAGATGTAACTTCTAAAAATGGTTGAGATATTGTTTTATTGAGAACAATTCATCTAGCATTTTCAAATATGCTTTTAAAAATACCTCAATGTTGTCCACCAATTTTGTTCACATATATAGATACATAGGTTACATACATATGCTTTAAAAAATAGCCTCAATAAATAATGTTGTCCACCAATTTGGTTCACATATATAGATTACATATATATGCTTATCTAGGATGCTTACACACATGTGCACACACAAACTCATCTAATCAGTTCTCCCTATTTCTTTTTTTTTTTATATTTTACTGATTTTTTACAGAGAGGAAGGGAGAGGGATAGAGAGTTAGAAACATCGATGAGAGAGAAACAACTGCACAAGCCCCAACTAGGGCCCAGGCCTGGGAGGAGCCTGCAACCAACAAGGTACATCTTGACCGGAATCAAACCTGGGACCCTTGAGTCCACAGGCCGATGCTCTATCCACTGAGCCAAACTGGTTAGGGCCCTATTATTTATTTTTTCTTTACTTGGAGAATTTGAAAAGTATACAAACACCAAAAAGTAGGAAAACTTTATTTTGTACCTTAAAAGCCATAAACTTTATTTTGTACCTTAAAACTTTATTTTGTACCTTAAAAGCCATAAATAAAAAATTCACAGTAAGCATCACACTTTAAGAACAAGGAAAAGAAAAGGATATCCCCTTTGGTCACTTCTGGTCAACATAATATTGAAAGTTATAGCCAGATAAATTAGGAAAGAAAAATAAATAAGTGGGATCCAAGTTGAAAAGGAAAAAGTCAAGTTCTCTCTGTTCATAGATGATATAATCCATGTATATAAGCTATGATGCACACTGACCACCAGGGGGCAGACACTCAACACAGGAGCTGCCCCCTGGTGGTCAGTGCGCTCCTTCAGCCAAGCTCCCATGGCCAGCCAACCTCCCGCAGTCCCTCTCTACCCCCACCCCCACTGGCCAAACTCCCATGGCCCCTCCCTTCAGCCAACCTCCTGCAGCCCCGATCGGCCTGATCACTGGCCAGGCCAAGAGACCCCACCCGTACACGAATTTGTGCACCAGGCCTCTAGTCCTATATAATAAAAGCCTAATATGCAAACTGTCCCCTTGGGCGGTCGTTCGACAGCTTGCTATGACGTGTGCTGACCACCAAGGGCCGGCACAGAATATGGCGGGCGTCGGCAACGCACTGCAACCTCTCGTCAGCTACCTGGGGATGGGGGTGACAGGGATGGAGGTGTGGTGAGAATGCAGGGTGTCCACCAAGCTTGCTCTCACTCCCCGTTACCCTCCCCCAAGATGCCAGGGCTCATGTGCTGGGGAAGCACCCGCACTCAGGTGCCACAAACCCACAAGAAGCCCACCCTGCACCCACACGGCATCTTCCGGGTGAACCAAGCCACAGCCACCGGAACTGCAGGGGCTGGTCAAGCTCCCCATGGGTTCGCGCAGCAGCTGGTCTGCAAGGCCAGTTGGAAGAGAGTGTGCTGCCCACCCAGCTTCCGTGCGGCACCACTGGGTGGCCCAGAAGCCCACGCTGTGCCCCGGCCCGTGGCGTCCAGCCACGCTCACCGAATCTCCACATGGGGACTCAGGCACGATGACTCAGGCGGAGAGGGGCACGCGGGGTCCTGAGGGCCCAGGTGCTGCCCAGAGCCCTGAGGTCAGCTGGAACCTGCCCTTCCACACATGATGCTTGCGCTTCAATTGCCAGCCAGGCCTAGGGACCACACCCGTGAATGAATTTCGTGCACCGGGCTTCTAGTCTTACACATAGAAAACCCTGAATGTTACACACACACACAAAAAACACAATTAAAGCTGATAAATGAATTCAGCAAAGTAGCAGGATACAAAGTCAACATACAAAAATCAGTTACATTTCTATGCACTAATAATGAACAATCTGAAATGGAAACTATGAAAACAATTCTATTTATAAGAGCACCAAAAAATCAAATGCTAAAGAATTAACATAACCAAAGAAGTGAAAACTCTTTAAAATGTACAATGAAAACTACAAAACATTATTGAAACAAAAAAGACATAATAAAAGGAAACATGTATCATGTTCACTAAATGGAATACTTAATATTGTTAAGATGTCAATACTACCCAAAGCATACATATTCAATGCAACCTCTTTCAAAATCCCAATAACATTTTTTATAGAAATAGAAAAATTCCATCCTGAAATTCATATGGAAAATCAAGGGATTCCAAATAGGCAAGTCAATTTTGGAAAAAGAACAAAGGTAGAGGACTCACACTTTCTGAGTTAAAACTTACAATAAAACTACAGTAATCAAAACAGTGTGGTACTGGCATCAAGGCAGACAAATAGACCAATGGAATAGAATGGAGAGCTCAGATATAACCCTTAGCATACTGGGTGAGGCAAAAGTAGTTGTGAGTATGCACAACACAGAGTTTATTCTTGTATTAATATTTATTCATGATTGTATTATTTTTCTTACAAATAACTATAAACCTACTTTTGCCCTAACCCAGTGGTCGGCAAACTCATTAGTCAACAGAGTCAAATATCAACAGTACAACGAATGACATTTCTTTTGAGAGCCAAATTTTTAAACTTAAACTATATAGGTAGGTACATTGTTATTAACTTAATTAGGGTACTCCTAAGGCTTAGGAAGAGCCACACTCAAGGGGCCAAAGAGCCGCATGTGGCTCGCGAGCCGCAGTTTGCCTACCACGGCCCTAACCTATATATACTGGTAATTATAAATAGAATTCGTTAAATATAGAATAGGTACTGTGACCATGTCAAACTGAAAAGCTAAATAAAAAGGAAATAGGCATATGAAAGGCTGCTTTCAAGTTGACATCAAAGATAACTCTGATCTAGAATCAGATCTTTCTGTAGTGATCCCATTGTTAAGTAGTGGACATTTCCATTTACTTGGTATTCCCAGTAAGCCTGAAGCATCTCTGTACCTTCTACTCTATTCCCTGGCTCCAAAACGAAAAGAAGAGTTTTAAATATAGTTGAACATCAAGGTTCAGAAATACATATTTTTAAAAATTATAAATTAAAATCATATAACTAGAGACATTAAGTCCATTTTTAAAAATGAAGATAATGTAGCCAAGAATATGCAATCTCACTTCATGAATTTTAAGGATTATTTAAACAGAGTAAATTAATAAACAAAACAGTTTTATAAAAACCAAACCTTTATCCACATTACTCAAAGGTAAAGAACTTTTATAAAGCAGGAAAGGACAGCCTTAGCAGTTTGATTCCGTGGTTGAGCATCAGCCCACAGACTGAAGGATTGAGGGTTTGATTCCAGTCAAGGGCACATACTTTGGTTGCAGGTTCAATCCCTGGTGGGGGCAACCAATCAATCTGTCTCTCTCACATCAATATTTCTCTCTGACTCTACCTCTCTCTTCCATTCGCTCTAAAAATCAATGGAAAAAATATTCTCGGGTGAGGATTAACAACAACGAAAAACATAGGAAAGGACAGCCAGTGAAAATTTTGTAATATCACTTTCTCACCATCCATTTTCCTACTCCTTCCTTTCTTTCTGAAGCCAAGACCCTTTCTTATGGAAAATTAGGTGCAAGAAAAGAGTTGCATCCACTATTGTTCCTTCAGAAGAATGTCAAGTGACGGTATGATAATGTAGTTCCACCTATTAATATACCCTGAAAAGGTTTAGAATACCCATCTGTGTTCCTAAAATAAAAGAAAATAAGCAAAGGGAAGTAGAATAAAAGAAGGTGATTAAAGGTGAGTACCGGGAAGGTGAGTAAAGATGGGGGAATGAGAAAGGTCAAAACTCAAGTGCCAACCTGGACAGTCAAAGGCAATATTATAATACTGTTTCTAGGAGTGGAAAGTAGGGCATGTAGAATATTAGAGAATGGAGCAGAAAGTAAGACTATGAAGAAAATTTTCTAGTGTTTTTACAAGTACAGTATACACCTACCACTGTTAATATTAAAACAGCCGTGGGCAAACTACGGCCCGCTTGAAATGAATAAAAAAAAAAAAAAAAAAAAAAGACCGTACCCTTTTATGTAATGATGTTTACTTTGAATTTATATTAGTTCACACAAACACTCCATCCATGCTTTTGTTCCGGCCCTTCGGTCCAGTTTAAGAACCCATTGTGGCCCTCGAGTCAAAAAGTTTGCCCACCCCTGTATTAAAATGTCTTTTATCTTCACCATACTTTCCCCTTTTTGTACCAGCCTGAAACTCTATTACCCCATTCCTGGCACCCACCCTTCTCAAAGCTGAAAGCCATTCAGACACACATTTCTTAAAATCCAACCTCTTTCCTAATAAAAACTGACCCTTTCTGTTCCAGCCCATCTCTTCCTTAATCAAGATTCTCGTTGTCTCACGTGGGTGGTTTCCATTAGGAAAATAACCTGATAAAAGTAAACCACATTGAGAACTTAAGCTTTAGAGGATAGAAGTATTTTTAAATGTTGGGATCATATCTCAGAATCTTATCTACTCTGAGGCTAACATTTTCTTCATTTAATCATTCAAAAAATATTTACTGAGTAACCAGAAGTATAGAGACAAATTTGGCACCCTACTTCTGAATACTTACCAGTTTCTATTGTAGAGTAAAGAAGTGAAAGGAAGGCCAGAAAAAAAAATAGGCAATAATGGGACTTTAGGTACTGATGATAAATACTTGCTTTACATACTGTTATTCCAACAACTCATACACCACCATTCCTGGCCTCCAGCCCACCTTACACCTGACTTCACATCACTAATTGATCATATTCTTTCCTGCTTAAGCCAA